TTCTCGTCCTTTATTTTTCCTTAAATTTAATTTTAAATTATTATTCGCAGGACCGAATTCATCTCCAAAATTGAAAAAAATTAAGAAACTGCAATATATGCAAGTTGTTTTTATAACGCATTATAATATCTTCTCTATATATTTAAAATCTTTGGAATATTAGATCAAGTGGGAGTAGGATTTAGTAGTAAAATATATTTAGGTGTACCTTAAACAGAACAAAAGGGACAGAGGTATAAATTTTCAGCTAATTCCTCGCCGTGATACCTTATAAACCCGCAATATATAGAGAGAGTTTTCCATATAATCCGAGATTCTAATAAAAAAAGGCTCCAACTTTTCCTTTTTTGTGTCAACTCTCTTTCCTCAATTCTCAAAACTCTTCATTATTTGTTTCCACAGCACAGACCCTTTGCTACCCAAAATCTTTTTTCTGGTAAAGTCACCCCTCTTTCTCTCTGTTTCTCTTCTGCATATATTGTTTTTTAATGATCATGTTTTTGTGTGTGTTTGTTTGTGTTTTTGTGATCAATGAGTCTTGCATGTTATGGTTATGGTGTTTGTTATCAATATATCTTGTGTGTGACACCTTAATTGAATCTCACGTCGACAAAATAATGCTGGATATATAAGTAAATATGCCTTATATTCTAGTGATGCATAAAGCGGACAATATTACTAGTGGATTGGGATGTTACGGTGTGTGTGATTTTTCAAACGCCAAACAATAGAACCCTTGTTCTGTTTCTGTAGGTCTTAAGTCTCCTTTTGCTGATGAGTTAATTTTTCATTGATTGATTGCATTATCTGTTAAATGAAATAATTTTCCTAGCAATTTTTGGGGGAAAAAGGAAAAAATTATCTTTTATTTCTTGTTAATCTTGCATTAAGAGCAATAAATTGGGAAAAGAAATTTACTATTTTTGGTCTGACATTTTTATACAGTTTAGTGTTTAGTTTTGTTTGCTTATTTATAGTTTGTTTATAGCTTTAAGGGAATTGCTGCTGAAAGTTTGAAGATTTTATGTGATGATTTGAAAAAACATCATGGGTTCAGTTTGTTGTTGTTTCACTGTTTCTGATGTTGGAGAGAATGCTGCTGCCTCAAATGATCATAACCATAGCAACTGCCAGTGTTTTAGTTGCTGCTTTCACAACATAATTAATAAGGTACCTGTTGAAAATTCTTTGCTTTTGGCTATGAAGTAATTGTATATTTTATCTTATCCTAATGTTTGGATGATGCGCTGAACTATTTAATGTTTCACATTGTTTGGAAGGGGAGCCTTGGAACAACAGTAAAAGGTTGTCTCCATATGAGCTATAGGTCACGAGTTCGAGCCGTGGAATCAGCCACTAATGCTTGCATTAGGGTAGGCTGCCCACATCACTACCCCTATGGTGCGGCCCTTCCCCGGGCCCTACGTGAACGCAAATGCTTCGTGCACCGTGTTGCCTTCTACCACTAAGCTAATTCTGCCTTGTCAGTTTTCTATGAATAAATGATGGCAAGATTCTTAACTACCGAAAACTAATCGTGTCTAACTGAAGTAGTTAATTAGTTGGACCACCAGCTCAACCAACTATAGCAATAATGAATATTTAAGTAGCACAACAGGTGAAGATGATTCCAAGGAAAAACTTCAACTACCTTAAAGAGCTAGGGAGATGACCTACCTTGCTCTTGTGCAAAGAATAATGTAGTCCTTTGAATCCCAAACCTAAAGGATTTAAGATTATACTAACATGAAGGATGTGCAGCATCTTTTGTCCTTGCTCAATTCGCAGCATACTGTTTGATTATAGATATTGGTTTAGCTTTTAGCATCTAATACATCAAACATCAGTCGTTGTTTGCTTTTAATATTCTGTTTTAATGTATTATGAGCAAAGATGACACTTGATGGAACTTTCTTTTTCCTGTTTTACTAGCTCATAGATTAGTAAAATCACAGAATAGCAATACTCTTTGCTTGGTGCGAAATTGTATATGTGAGATGCTAATGTGATCATGTATCAACTTTAATAGTTTAGACATGGAAAAGCTCTCTTGTTTTTGAAGAACAGTGAAACAAACCACAGAAACGAATATTGCTGACTTGAGTCCATTGTTTATTACCGCTAACCTGGAAAATTCTAATTATAGCTGTAGTAACAACAATCATGAGTTCATGACTATATTGCTAGCGTAGTTGCATCCTTTTTGCAAATAACTCGTTCTCGTAATGGGGAGCCTTGGCGTATCTGAAAAAGTTGCTGCCATTTGACTAGGAGGTCACAGGTTCGAGTCGTGGAAACAGGCTCTTGTAGAAATGTAGGGTAAGGCCGTGTACAATAGACCCCTGTTATACGCCCCTTCCCCGGACCCCGTGCATAGCGGGGGCTTAGTGCACCGGACTGCCTTTTTTCATTCTACTTTTTCCTAGTTAAGATACTAATTGTTCCTAGTTAAGATACTAACTTTTTACAATATGCTGACTGTTCCTTATCATGAAATTGACTTTTAAGTATTACTTGTCATCAGTGTGGAGCCGTATTTGGTCGAGCACAAGAAACTGCTGTGACTTCAGCTAATCAAGGCCCGTCATCTTCGAATGCTGTAGTTACCGTCAATAGTTCATGTAATACAATCAGTTCTCAGGGTAGTGTTTTACCAAATAATGCTGCTCCAACACAGCCACAAGTGCAACAAGAAGTTGCATTTAGACGACAGGACAAAAGTACAAGTCAATCACGAGTTGAGCCTGAACCAGTCGGAGATGCTGATGTTGAAATAACACAAAGACTTCTACAAGCAGCAGACAAGCTGATTAAATTAGACTGCGAAGGAGGATGTAAAGAATATTGTCCCGAGTCCCCTGAGAAGGAAAATTCATCAAAGATGAAGACTGGATTTCTGTATGCGGTTTCCTCATCGGAAGATGAGGATGTATGTCCAACATGCCTCGAAGGTAGCTTGTGTTGTTTAACAATTTTGTGTTGGTAAAGAACTATTTGAATATGCTTAATTTTTCAAATGACTTTTTTTTTGCAGAGTATACACCAGAGAATCCCAAGATATCGACAAAATGTTCACATCATTATCACCTCAGCTGTATTTACGAGTGGCAGGAGAGAAGTGAAAAATGTCCAGTTTGTGGAAAGGCAAGAGTTTTTGTTTCTTTTACTTTTCTCTTTTTATGTTACTCTGGTGCATTGCAAGTTTGCATTATCTTATTTGTTGCATAGTCAAGTTAAATCTTCCGCAAAGGAGGAGTCAAAAAATTTATATGTTAGTCTAATAACTAATGCTTTATCAATGAACTGCTAGATTTGCTTTTCCTCTTTACTAGTTTGCGTCATGTTTGTGTTTGCATCAAGAACTTTAAATGGCATGTTATATACATTCTTTGTCAGTATTGTAACATATATAGGTTTAAGAATAAAGTTTTGTTATCTGAAAATGACAGCAGTGTATGTAGTAAATAGTCACTTGCTCATTCAGATGGCTCAGTTATTGAGCCGGTATATATATGTTGTTAAAGTTGCTAATATTTTGGCGATATATATCTGCAATCTGATCTCTATACACTGTAGCTTGATTACCTCAATAATTTTATCGGATGCTTTAATACCTTTAGAATTTTGGATGTTAACGGTAGAAGGTCTTAAGAAGAAAGTCAGCATTTACTCATGTCTAGTGTTTTCTTAAGACAGATTTCGACTTCTACTTTCGGCAACAAATATGTTGTATACCTTTGATTTAAAAGATAACAAAAGATCATAGAATTATACTTGGAAAAAAATTGTGCGAAGAGCTTTAGTGATGCCTAAACTTGATATATTTTTGGTTATACAGTTTAAGTTATTTACCTCTGATTCTCTAACACTCTTTTATTTCCTTTCCCAGTTGATGCAATTCGAGGAAACAAATTAGTGTACGGATCTGAAGAGAAGGAGCTAAACGAGAATGAAAAGCAGACGTATATGTGAAGATTTCCTGCAACTTAGTAAGGTGTACATAATTCTTGACTACACTGGTTCCCAACATCTTAGATTTACTCTGGAGTTGTTCGTTTCTTTGGTGTTTTTAACTTTTGATTATTTGGAACATGCCCTGTTATACAACAGATTGAAGAGTAACACGATATACGGTCAAGAGAACACTTGTTTCCCCTTAAAATCTGTTTGGTGTTTATACTTTTGGCTCCTCGGCTTTTTGATTGCTGCTACATGTAAAGCAAGTGAGACCAACTACTTGTGCTAATGAAATTTAGATGATTGATTTTATCAGCTTATACTATCTTTTTGCCCCATGGTCTTTACATCTTAATTAAGATTGGTGGCACAATGCTACAAGTCTTTTACACCTCAAGTACTTATATTTGCCAGTTGCCTATGCTAACATTAAGGTAAGTACAGAGTTTCTATTTTTACAGCCTGATGAAATTATTAAATTACTCAAAGAAACACCAAAACAATTAGGATATAGGTGACATCCTAGGCAAGTCCTATATCGACAAGAGATACTAGGTATATATAAGTAAACATGCCTTAAATCTTAGTAATGCATTTTAAAGCGGTGCGGGCCTAGGCCCAAAGCGAACAATATCCCTAGTGGACTAGGCTGTTACACATGGTATCAGAGCCACTTCACGTGCAACCTTGAACAATGCTGGGGAAAACGTCAACGTCCTCGCTAAGTCCCTAAAGGAGGTGTATGTTACACCCTAGGCAAATCCTACATCGACAAAACACGAGAAAGATGCTTGGTATACAAGTAAACATGTCTTATATCCTAGTGACGCATTTTAAAGCCGTGCGGGCCTAGGCCCAAAGCAGACAATATCACTAGTGGGCTTGACTGTTACAGGATATCAAAACAATTTTTAGCAATTAGGAGCTGAATAAAACATTTCACATGAGAATACAAATTTGCAAGTAGTAATGGAATTTCTCATGTTTTTGCACTGGAGTTGGCCTTTTTTTAAGCCCTCCCAATGACCTTGAGCAAATCAGTGTTTGGGCATAACATTGTATTGAACTCAAAGAAAAATACATAATTTTATTGACAATAATTCTAAGGTAAAAATATAAACTATAGCCAACAAATGGACCTCCCCTTCCATTTATGAAGGTTGGGAAATTAACATTCTTCACCATTAATATAAAGAAAGACAATAAGGTCCTATATATATATATATATATAAAGACACTCAATATTAAGAACTTCCCAAGAAGAGACTTAAAATCTTATTTTCCTCCACATAAAGCAATGAGAACACAAAATTGGAAAACTTGAACTCCAGCAAAAGGACATTTCTTCAGATGCAACATATAAAGTTGTTTATTCATGTGGCAAAGCATCCCATATGGCATGGGTACAAGGAATCAAGATTTAGGTCAAGCTCATTCCTCCTTGCTTCTTCTGCTTCCTCTTGGTAATTACCTCTAATTAATCAACAATTATACCATCACCAAATTAATGAAACAATCGAACAAGTAGTGCTTAACCAACTTTGTAAATAAAAGCTAGTTAGCAAATTCAAAACTTCAATATGATGCTGAACAATAAAAGTAAAACACTGAAGAATTAATCTGATTAGCCGGCCACCTAACTGCTTAAACTTAACATAGTCAGCGGATGTATAATATATATATATATAATCCATGTATAATATATGTATAACCATGAATAATCAATGTATAATTTATGTGTACTAGCTAGCAGTATTGTCAAAAGCGAAAAGCGCAAAAAATGGTCTAAGGTCCATTGGGGCTTTAAGCCCAATAAAGTATGGGGCTTTGATGAGGAAAGGCACAAAAGGAGAGAAAATACAAATATGTATGTGTAGTCCTAGACTAATAATTATACGCGTGCATTATAAATATATGGACAAAGAAATTGAAAAAAATATTCCATAGAGCTTTGATGATGACATTGAAGCGCCCCTGGGCGAGACGAAGCGCTCGACATGTTTTGCGCCCTACTTTAGAGCTTAAGCGCGCTTTAAGGCACCTTTGACAATATTGCTGGCTAGAAAAAGTAAATAGTAAATCTGTCGGTTATTTGTGTAAAGATCCCATGCTTTCAAAAATAGTACTAGTAATTATGCTGGTTTTGTTTATTTATCTTGTTATAGAGGACAACAATTACCCAATATTTAGGCAAGGATGTGGTTGTAGGAGGAAAGATGCTGAATTTGGAACTTGATTTTGCTGATGCCATTCAGCTTGCTTCCCTACTGTCTTATCCTTCTCCTTAATCTGTTTAGAAGCAAAGGAATTAGAAAAAATGAAAAATAACCTATTAATACAATGTATATGATATTTAACAATTTCCCTAAGATATATGAAGTGCTAAGTATGGTATACTGTTGAAAACTTTGCTAATTGCAGAACAACTTAGAATAAATTAGAAGAGACAAACTCACCTTCTTGGATAGCATGTTATTCTCCTCCTGGATTGCCTTTTCCTATGAAAGTATAAAATATTACACTCAAGGTATTTAACCAAGATTACAGTACTTAATAATTAGCAGTGGAGTAGTAATTAAACTTGGCATGCATATAATTACTAGTACCTTTTTCTGTAGCATAGAGATTGACTCATGCATGAGTTGGTTCTGCAACACAAAAACATCTGAAGTCACAAAAAATCTCAAATTTTGCATGAAAGAAAAGCAAATGTTAAAGCACCCAAAAGTGTGATTTAGCCGTTAATGAAGTGAGTGAAAACTATGGAAGATCAGGATTCTAATTGTAGCTGAGACAAAAAATATTGGATTATTTCTTCCCATCTGACCAAACCATGGTGAACAGAGTTACAGAAACATGTCCTCAGGGGCGAATGTATTATTTACAATACATTCGGCAGAGCTCAGTAGTTGTTTTTGGCCAAATCCTGTGTTTGTCATAAAAGTTCATTTAATATGTACAAATTATAAATTTAGAACTCAATAACTCCGAAGGGCTAGAAATCAAAAGTCCATAACTTCAAATCCTCGGTCCGCTTCTGTCTATGCTAAGGCTGTCCAACGGGACGGGACGGGACGTCCCGGTCCCGCGTCCCGTCCCGTCCCACTTAATTTTAAACAGGATGGACCCATGTTAAACGGGACACAGGATGGGACGGGATGGCCATTTCGTCCCGTTTATCCCGTCCCGTCCCGTGTCCCTTTTTTTTTGAATTATAGCCGTTGGGCAACGACTATAATTGCAAAAATAGCCGTTCCCAATGGCCAGAAATGGCCATATTTGCCCCCCCC